GCTGTTAAACTCCACCAATTGCCGAAGTAGATGTTTTTCTGGAACTCTCTTGCTTTTTCTATGATCCAATGATTGTTGGCAATTTGATCTCTGGTTCCTCTATCTTTTCTAAATCCAGCTTGAACATCTGGAAGTTCTAGGTTCATGTGTTGTTGAAGCCTGACTTGGAGAATTTTGAGCATTACTTTGCTACTGTGTGAGATGAGTGTAGTTGTGCAGTAGTTTGAACATTCTTTGCCATTGCCTTTCTTTGGGATTGGAATGAACACTGACCTTTTCCAGTCCTGTGGCCACCGCTGAATTTCCCAAATTTGTTGGCATATTGAGTGCAGCACTTTCACAGCATTGTCTTTTAGGATTTGAAATAGCTCAGCTAGAATTCCATCACATTCACTAGCTTTGTTTGTAGTGAGGCTTCCTAAGGTTCACTTGACTTCACACTCCAGGATGTCTGGCTCTAGGTGAGTGATCACACCATCATAGTTGTCTATGTGTCATGAAGATCTTTTTTGTACCATTCTTCTATGTATTCTTGCCTCCTCTTCTTAATGTCTTCTGCTTCTGTTAGGTCCATACCATTTCTGTGCTTTATTGTGCCCATCTTTGAATGAAATGTTCCCTTGGTATCTCTAATTTTCTTGAAGAGATCTCTAGTCTTTCCCATTCTGTTGCTGGGAAAACATCTACTTCTGCTTTATTGACTATGCCAAAGCTTTTGACTGTGTGGATCACAACAAACTGTGGAAATTTCTTCAAGAGATGGGAATACCAGACCACCTGACCTGCCTCCTGAGAAATCTGTATGCAGGTCAGGAAGCAACAGTTAGAACCAGACATGGAACAACAGACTGGTTCCAAATTGGGAGAAGAGTACATCAAGGCTGTATATTGTCACCTTGCTTATTTAACTTATATGCAGAGTAAATTATGCAAAATGCCAGGATGGATGAAGCACAAGCTGGAATCAAGATCACCGGGAGCAATATCAATAACCTCAGATATGCAGATGACTTCATCCTTATGGCAGAAAGCAAAGAGGAACTAAAGAATGTCTTGATGAAGGTGAAAAAGAACAGTGAAAAAGCTAGCTTAACACTCAACATTCAAAAAACAAAGATCATGGCATCTGGTCCCATCACTTCATGGCAAAAAGATGGGGAAACAATGGAAACAGTGAGAGACTTTATTTTCTTGGTTTCCAAAATCACTGCAGATGGTCACTGCAGCCATGAAAATAAAAGATGCTTGCTACTTGGAAAAGAGCTATGAAAACCTAGACAGCATATTAAAAAGCAGAGACATCACTTTGCTGACAAAGGTCATCTACTCAAAGCTATGGTTTTTCCAGTAGTCACATATGGATGTGAGAGTTGGACCATAAAGAAGGTTGAGCACCAAAAAATTGATGAACTGTGGTGTTGGAGAAGATTCGAGTCCCTTGGACTGCAAGGAGATCCAACCATTCAATGGTAAATAAAATCAGTCCTGAATATTCATTGGAAGGACTGATGCTGAAATTGAAGCTCCAACACTTTGGCCACCTGATGCAAAGAACTAAGTCATAGAAAAAGACCCTGATGCTGGAAAGATTGAAGGCAGGAGGAGAAGGGGATAACAGAGGATGAGATGGTTGGATGGCATCACCCACTCTATGGACATGAGTTTGAGTAAACTCCTGGAGTTGGTGATGGACAGGGAAGCCTGGTGTGCTATAGTCCGCGGGGTCGCAAAGAGTCGGACATAACTGAGCAACTGAACTGAATTGCCAGCTGATTGCTCTACTGATTTCAACAATCCTCTGGGCATAAATTCCTTTAAAACTTATCCAATCCAGTTCCGGCCTGTCTGACACAATCTTTTTTTTTTAAACTGGAGTATACTTGCTTTATAATGCTATTAATTTCTGCTGTACAACAACAGTGTATCAGCTGTAAGTACACACACCCCGTCCGTCTTGAGCCTCCCTACTGCCCGCCCCATCCCACCCCTCCTGGTCATCACAGAGCATAGACTGAGCTCTCCTGTGAGCTATTTACACATCATAGTGCATATAAGTCAATGCCACTTTCTCAATTCATCATGCCCTCTCTTTCCCCCCCATTCCCATAAGCCTCTTCTCTATGTGTCTCTATTTCTGCCCTGGAAATAGGTTTGTGTGTACCATTTTTCTGGATTCCATATATATACATTAATGTATGATATTTGATACAAGCTTTTCTGCATTGGTGTTTCATGTTCCCACCCCATGAGGGCTCCCCTGGTTTTCTGATTCCCTGGTTCTGTCCTGTGAACCAGCCTCCAGCTTGGCCTTATCTCGAATCTCCTCCCGAGTGTCCACCACTACCTCATGAAACTTGAGAACTTGCGTTTGAACTTCTCCACAGGATGTTGCAAACAGAGTCAGTCCTCTGGGAAGAGATTAGAACCGATCTGTTGTTCTGACTGCTCACCCCCTGCCCCCCAGTCTCTGAGCTGTGACTTTGGAGCCGGCGGGGAGAACAACGACAGACGTTTCCGTGATACCCCTGCTCTAGGAGCTCAGCGGTGGGGCGCCAGCCTGGGGTCCTCTCCGCCATCTCTCCCGGTGAGAACCACTGCCCCACAGCTGGGGAAGTGAGCAGCAGCCCAGCACTCTCAGTGGTGCCAAGGTGGAGCCTGCCTGCCAAGAGGGGACTGGGCAGGAGGGATCCCTCACCCCCACTTAGGCAGGCACTGGGCCCACTCCTCGGGGAAGGAGCCGGGGGAGGAAGCCTTGAGTCCTCAGCTGCAGCCCCTGGAGCAGGGTCTCTGCAGTGGAAGCATGTTTTGTCTTTAAAGAGACATTATGAACTCACGGAGGTAAGGATATTTGATGTGTTTCTTCCGGTTGTAGTTCTTGTTCACAGTCCACTCCAGCTGTCCTGCCCTCGACCGGCAGCTCCTTTCTGGGGTGCCTCCTGGGCCCAAGCTTGGTATTCCTCAATAGCTTCCTTGATCTCAAAAGACTAATCTAGGCTTTCAGTAAAGCTGTAGGTTTAGTAAATATGGTATATACATTATAGCTTACAACAGTACTTCTAATTCAAATTCAGGATTATGGGTTTTTAATGTCAATGCTCCCAAATCTACTTTTTCCCCAAGTCAAAAAATTTCAGTTCTCAAAACTACTCAGGTCATTTGGCAATTGGGACATTTGAGTTGTTCTCAGTATTTAGTTATTAAAAATTTCACTGAATAAACTGCCTTTTGGGTAAATCTTTTGAAGTATTGCAATGTGGGTTCAGAATGTAGTCCTAAAAGTGGGACTGCTCGGTCACAGGTATGTGCAGAAGTAACTTTGTTAGGTATTGGTAAATTCCCCTTCCTAGGGGCTGCAGCATGCAGCACCCCCACTGACCACATGTGAGATGCCACTTCACACACAAAAGGGTGCGCCATCTAACCTTTGGGTTTTGTCAACTGGATGCAGAAGAATGGGTCTCTGTGCCTTTTTATTTCTGTTTCTCTGAGTGAACTGAGGGGTCAGTTTCTGCCCCTCAGATGTTCTGCTTTGGCTAAGGTTGTGTAAAGGCAACACAGAAAGGGCATGGGTGGAAAAGTGAATTGGGGTGAAAATTCATACCTAGTAATTTTTAACAATCTATTTTTCTAGTAATTTATTTTAAAGTGGTCCTAGATCATAGATCTGCAGTCATATGGCAGAGACAAATATTCATTTTTTTAGCTAGAACCTAGACATGTCAGAGAAACTCCAGTGATAAATTCCAAGAAATACAAACTCACAGCCAAAACTCATAAAGTTCCCCAGGAAACTAGGCAGCATGAGTGAGGCAGCAGAAAGAAGGATGGAGGGGTCAGACCCACGACTTCAGATACTGGTGCCATCAATCAGAGAATGTACAATAAGTTCAATATGTTTAAAAAGAATGAGTTGAAGATAAGATTAACAAAAGCTATAAAAGTCCAGCAAATTAGAAAAACAACACAGCACTTAAAAGAACTGAAAATCATAACTTTGGAAATTAAACACTGTGAATGAGTTCAACAACACATCTGCTAACAGCTGATAAGGAAATTAGTGAACTGAAAAATGGATCTTGAGCAATTACCCAGAATGTAGCAAAGACAGATAAGGGACAGGAGACAGGTAAGGGCTGTTAGAAGGCGGAGCGAGGGCGTCTGATGCATTTTCTGGGGCTTTAGGAGGAGCAGGAACAGAGAATGGGGCAGAGGTGCCAACTGAAGAAAGAAAAGCCCAGGTTCAGAACACCCTCCGTGGAGCAGGCAGGGTGATGAGCGCCTTTGCCGGAAGCACCAGTGGAGCCACAGCAAAGCATGGAGGAGACGAGCCACCCTCGGGCTGACGAGGGAGCACAGCGCTGCCGGGGCAGCAGGGCTCCGCGGGGCGCAGAGGGGCCAGACCAGCACCCGCTGACCGGGCCAGGCCCCAGGCCCAAGCGCCCAGCGAGAAGGGCCACACGGGCCCCTGAGGGGACAGGCCCCAGAGGACAGCCAGCCGGTGGGTCCCCGGTCCCATGCTCAGCGGGGCAGGCCTGCATCGCCAAACCGGGGCCAAACCGGCCACCTGCCCGGCCACGTCCCTCTGGCTCCACAGGCCTTGCAGCCCCGCCCAAGGCCGAAGTCTCCCCCGAGCGTAGGCACGAGGGCCGCGGGCATCCCCCCAAAACTAGGAAGAGCCCCCAGGGACCTGTCAGCCCATCGCCCCCTCTGAGAAGTGGCCACTGAGGACGAAATCCTCACTGTCACCCAGCACAGAAGGACAACCGTTTACTCCACGTAATTGAAGACCCTTTACTCCACACGTCTCAAACTATTTACAGCACTTAAGGAAAACCATTTACCCCACGTGTCTCCGAAGGGCATTGTGAGGGGTGGTGGCTGCTCTCTGCACTCCAGTCACCCACAAGGGATCCCTTCCCGGATCCCATGCATCCCCCACGGCCTCGGTCAGCTGGCTATTCACGGCCTGGGACGAGCAGGGCAACGGGCGGGCTCCACCATCACAGGCGCTTGCTTTTCTTCTTGGTGCTTTTAAATCCTCGAGAGGCACCCTGCCCGAAACAGATGGTCGATGGTATCCTGAAACAGAAAAACGTCCACACAAAACTGCTAAGGTTTTGCCCACAGATAGCGCAATGCAGCGGCAGTCTCCTGGGGCCTGACTCATGCTCCGGATGCTCCCTCCTCCCCAGCGGACCGCAGGGCGGCCACGGGCTCTTCAGGTGGGAGCTCCCCTCATCCAGCAAGGCCACCGCGGGCACGCTCCGCCCCCTGTGCCCGCCCCCCGTGGAGCCTGAGCCTCCCACCTCCCCAGCTCACCCTCAGGCCAGAGTGACTACACCCGCGGGCAGGCTGCGGAGGGCCTCCAGGTCCTCCCTGACAGGGTAGGCTTGTTGGTTGTTTTTTCCATTTCTCCAACATTGACCCCCAAATTAGACTTGAAATCAAATTAACCCAACAAAAACACCATTAACACTAGAAAGACAGGCGGTAGGTTGTACCCCAGGCAGTCACATCCTGCATCTTTCCATCCCCGCCCAGGCCACGGTCAGAGGAGGCTGTGCTCCCAGGGCCCCAGGTCACCGAGGGCAGCAGGGTGGTCAGGCTTTTCATCTCCCCCTGAAGCCAACACCCCAACCCAGTGCGGCTTCTCTCAGTGGGGACGCTCAGAGTCAAACCCAGAATTCTCCAGAAGCACAAGTTCAGAACCTGGTTCAGAAAGAGGCCAGGTACTGACCTGGGGCCGTAGACCCGCCTCTCTCTTGGAGGTTCTGGGTGGGCCTCTGCGTGTTCAGAGCAGACTTCCATGGTATCTCCTCCAGAGGGTGCCTGGTCCTCCCCCATGGCTTCTGTCGACACCTGCGAGGCTGGGCTGGGGAAGACAGGCTGAGGGCTCTCCCAGGGTCAGCTCCTGCAGCCCCACCTTCCCTCGGGAGTGAACTCGCAAAGCTATTTTGGCTGTTTTGTCAGAGTAATTCCAGTCTGTTTATGGCTGTTTTGTTAGGGTAATTCCAGGCTACTGGACTTCCAGGACAAATAGAGGTAACTTAATGTGACATACACCACGTTTTATGAATTTAGGTACAACAGTCACACTTCATCTTTTAAAATACTACCTTTATGATGTCATGTGGTAAATGACTATCAACAATACCAAGTGTCTTTCCATAATAATTGAGAAATTCACTAAAGCCAGCCATACAATACTGAGCTTCTCCTCCTTAACACCACTGTCTCAATCCAGCACTGCATGATTTTTTTCTCCTTAAAATGATTCCTTGGAAAGGAAGCAGTTACCTCATACTCAAAGTCTTAGAAAAATCTCCCATATTGAAGTGGGTTCTCCTGATTATTCTACTCTGAACAGCAAAGTCCTATCTGGGGACAACAATTGAGTCTGAAATGATTTCAATCAGGGCAATCTTTAGATGGTTACAAAGCTTTCCCTGAGAAGGTCAGTTAATGAAAAAGCAAAGAAAACACGAACTTAGAGGCAGTTCCCAGATGCACTTTCCACAGTGCATTCTGAACAATATTACACAGCTCTGTCGTCAAGCTTGTAAATGTACTGATAGGACAAATGAAAAGCCAAAGGACTCCATGTGTGGGAAACGGCTCACGGTCTGGGACAAACCCCCATGGGGCCCATGTGAAGACGGAGGAGAGGTGATGGGGCAGCGGAGGCAAAGCGTGAGCGCAGAGGGACGCCCAGCAGACCCTGTGATGGCACCCCGGTCACCGCCCACAGACCCAGGAAGGCAGCTTCCCCTCCTTCTTGTCCTCCTTGCAGACAGAGTGGCCACGTACAAAACCACCTCCACCTGCTCAATCCCTCTCGGTTTAGTAACTCCTGACTCACAGGGTTAACCCACAACTAAACGTGACGTGAAGTGACAGGAGTGCTGCACGAGGGCGTCCACACCCTCTGAGTCTGCACACTCTCAGGCCTGCTGAGCTCAGGAGGCGGCTTCCTCGGACACCACCACATACCCTCTGCCCTTCCTCGGTTTATCGAAGCGGAAGTCTGCAGGGTAGAGGTGATGCACCACCAGGTGCTCCTTGCGGTCTCTGCTGCTCCTGAACTTCTCCGTGCAGCCCTCCACCAGGCACTGGTACTACAACAGAAAGTGTCGCCACCCTGACGCTGGGACCACTGCCTCACCCAATCGGGACCCCAGCCTCTAGCACCATGAGGCACACGGCTCGGGGACAAGCCCCGTGATGACTGCCCTTGGCCTCAGTGGGCGAGCATCACTCACCATGTCCTGCCGCTCGGCCAGGATCTGGAACAGTGAGTCGTGCCACTCCAGGATGTGTGTGTCCAGTAGGTGACCAGAGGGGAAGGCCCGCTTACAGTAGGAGCAGACGTTTCCGTGCAGAGTGTGGTAGTGGTGCTCATAGTCCTGCAGGGCGTCAAACACCTGGCCGCAGCCAGCCACCTGACAGGGGAACTCAGGCACCCTGGCAGAAAAACGCCTGGTGGGGATGCAATTCCGCGGAGGACAGGACGTCAGGCTCCCTGTCACCACTCCCCTTAAGTGGCTGCGGATAAAGTTGATAAAGCTTCGGATTTTCTCTTGCAAGCTCAAGCCCTGCCTTCATTACAAATACATCTTCACGGACAAGCAAGGTGGTGGCGAGGCCAGCCATGCTGCCTTCGTTGGTGATCCAGGGCAGACACCAGGGAGGGGTGAGCAGAGGGAGGGGTGAGGAGAGGGCAAGAAGGGCCCTGAGCTGGGTCACAGAACTCACCTGGGCCTCTCTGGCTCCGCAGCCACCTGCGTAATCACATCCTGGAGGTAGAGGTGCCTCTGCACGTCCCCGTCCTGCAGAAGACAGCTCTGCGGGCTCACCTCGGCCCGCTTGGGGCCCTGCCCACCCGGGTCCGGGTCCCGCCCCTAGGGCCCCGGCCCCTCCCCTAGGACCCGGGCCCCGCCCCGAGTCCTGGCCCCGCCCACCTGGGATCCGCTCCGCCCCCACCCGCAACCGCTTTCTCTTTCATCGGTTCACGAACCTCGAAGAACTCGTGCTCCCGCGGGAAGCGCACCTGGCGCGCCGCGAAGCGGAAGGGCGCGTTCCCGGCCAGGGGGTCCCGCTGCACGGGCAGCGGCGCGGCCTCCCCAGGGGCTCCCGCCAGGCGGGCGTGCAGCGCGGGCGGCAGCTGCATCGCCCTGCGCGCCGGTGGCAGCACGGCCTCCCGGCCACCGTCCGCAAGCCGGCCGGGGCGGGGCCGGACGTGACGTCAAGCGGCACGTCCGCCGCCGCCGCGGGCGGCGCCGCGGGCTTGGCGGGCTCTGGTTCGGGCTCCGGCGCGCGGCTGTGGTGAGTCGGCCTGGGGGCGACTCTCCCGCGGGTGGCTCGGGTCCCTTTCCCGGCCCCGAGCACTGCAGGCTCCTTCCAGCCCTTGTCGCTGTCGCGCTTGCCCACCGCCTCGCCTCCCGCCTGAAGGGCTGCTGCGGCCTCCGCTCCGGCCTTGTCCCCAGAACACAGCCCGAGTGGTCTCCGGGAGATGCACGGTCCGCTGTGTCGCTCTGCTCTGCAGAGCCCTCGGCGCCTGGCAGCTCAGTCTCTGTCACCGGGGTCTGTGGGTCCGTTGGCGGCGGCCAACAGGGAGAAGCACTCGGGAGCGTCAGCAAGATGAGCTAGGTGCTCTTAGAGCTGTGTTGAGCGGGGCGCTGCCGCACTGTGGAGTGGGGGTTCGGTTGGTGTTTGGCCCCCCGGCCTCTTGCCCAGGGAGTATCAGGAGCACCCTTCTAGCGAGGCCACAGCCAGAAGTCCTCCCAGGGTGGTGCTGCCCGCCGGTGAGAACAGCAAAGCTCGCGGGAACTGTTCCTAAACCCAGGCTCCTGGGAGTCTCAGTACTTGTGATGTGGAACGTCTGCTCTGTTTCTCCCACAGGTGTGAGGTTTCACGAAGGTAGTTTTTACATAAACGTTTGCTTACATGAGCTTTTTTCACAACAGCCCTGTCCACCCGCTTGTGTCTCTTCTGGTGGCAAATGCAGTGTCCTTGCCATCTTATGTGTCCAAAGTGATCCTCAGGCTAGCTCTTATGGGCCACCCCCAGTCCTAGGGAACCTCTTAGAATGCGGGTAAAAAAAGCTCTTGGAATTGAAGAGGCCCCGGGAGAGCTCTGTGCTGTCTTTTCTGGTTTGCTTGTCATTTCCAGTGCCTCCTTCCTGCCTTTTGTGACTGGTTACAAGGTAACCGTGGTTTAGGGTGCTGGCTCTGATTCATGGCCAGTTTTCCATTTCTCAGGTAACAGCTATTTCCAGTGATTGGCCATGTGCAGCAGCAGCAGTGTTCATTTCTGCTCTTTTGATAGCGACAGTGCAGGCTCTTAGGTGCCATATTAAATCTCCACGACAGCTTCGTGAGTAGGACCTAGTACTCACCCCCTTTTGGAAGAAGCTTACAGAGGACAAGCTTTTTGTCCAGGGTCCTACAGCCTGGAAGCCCCAAGTCAGGGTTCAGCCTCAGCCCTGGCCCTGCCATGCCTCAGGCCCATGACCATGGTCCTGTGAGCACCTCCTGATGTGAAAAGTACATGTGCTGGTGACTTACATGCCAGCTCACCCTTGCTGTTGGCTTTCTTGTCTGGAGATACTCTGCCTCTGGCCAGTGTTGGATGTCTGTCCGATGACTGATGTTCGTGTACTGGGAACTTGTTTTCTGTCACTTGGAGTTAGAGTCTCTCTCTGTGTGGTTACAAATCAACATTCACACTGTGGGTATGTGTGCTGAGGCTCTCCCAGCTGATGTTTCTCTCATAGCTTGTCTTCACTGGAGCTATTGGCACAGTGGTTCTGATCTTAGGGTCATGGAGCCTTTGAGGATCTGTTGAAAGACCTCCTCATAAAAATCAGAAATGACCTTGTCTGTAATTTCCAAGAGTCTCCTGTGGTTCATGATCCCAAATTATGAACCCTGCGTAGGTACGTCCAAACGTTTATGTGAAGCACGTAAAGCCTGCTCGTGTTTGTCTTTTGAATCTAGTTGTCCGGCGTTGTCTTAGTGTTAATAATGGCTAACTGGACCAGTCATCAGTGGGAGAACAGAAGTCCCCAAGCAGGCCACCACTGTCTGCTTGGCGGGATCTCACTTACAGTTTTGACCCTGGAAGGCTATATATCCAGTGAGGAGACGTTCGGATATCTGCTTGACAGGTGGAACTGAAGGGAAAGCCCACCCAGCTACAGTGCACGGTGGACATGACACCTGGCCTGGGCGAGCAGAGGCAGCACCTTGGTTCCCAGAGCGGCGGCCGGGGCCTTGCGGCGGGAGCCGGGATGGGAAGTGGCTTAGGCCTGTGCAGGGCTCCCTGTGTGATCAGGACCCCTGAAGGGCAGGGGTCGCTGTGTCTGCGCAGCTGGGGCTAGAAAGTGCTGGCCGCCAGCTGAGGGAGCAGCTCCCAGAGGAAGGAGGCCCAGGTCTTCAGGCCGCATCTGCTGTCTGTGCATGTGCCAGCCCCTAGCGGAGGAGCAGCCTGGACACTGGCCACAGCTGCTGAGGCTCTGAGTCAGGGCTCCGATTCCCCCAGAGCTGCCCACTGAGACAGCCCCCACCAGCAGGGGGGTGGAAGAGCCTCCTCAGGAAGGGGCCCCACGGACTGGTCAGCACAGGCTGTGGTGGGGCCTGCCTGGGGAACCTGTGGGCCCGCCAGGCTAGCCCATGTGACAGTTTGGCATCTCAAGAGGTGACATTAGCCTAATTTGATTGTTTTAAGCTTTTTTTATTTATAAGGATTTGTTTTTATAAATGGCTTGTCTCTTACCTTTAGGAGAACATGTTGTGATGTCTCAGAGCCAAAATCATGAGTGAATTTCGGATTCACCACGATGTCAATGAACTGCTCAGCCTCCTGCGGGTGCATGGAGGAGATGGAGCCGAGGTCTACATTGATCTGTTGCAGAAAAACAGGACTCCGTATGTCACAACCACGGTGTCTGCACACAGCGCCAAGGTGAGTGCCGCCCCAGGGCTGTGTGGGTGAGGTGGTCCCATCCCCCAGTGCTGCGCTGGGTGAGGTGGTCCCGCCCCCAGGGCTGTGTGGGCGAGGTGGTCCCGCCCCTAGGGCTGTGTGGGCGAGGTGGTCCCGTCCCCCAGGGCTGTGTGGGCGAGGTGGTCCTGTCCCCCAGGCCTGTGTGGGCAAGGTGGTCCCGTCCCCCAGGGCTGTGTGGGCGAGGTGATCCCATCCTCCAGGGCTGTGTGGGCTGAGGTGGTCGCGTCCCCAGGGCTGTGTGAGTTGAGGTGGTCCCGTGCCCCAAGGGCTAGGTGGGGCGAGGTGGTCCCGTCCTCCAGGCCTGTGTGAGTTGAGGTGGTCCTGCCCCAAGGGCTGGGTGGGGCGAGGTGGTCCCGTCCTCCAGGACTGTGTGGGCTGAGGTGGTCCCGTCCCCCAGGGCTGTGTGGGCTGAGGTGGTCCCGTCCCTCAGGGCTGTGTATGCTGAGGTGGTCCCACCCTCAGGGCTGTGTGGGCTGAGGTGGTCCCGCCCTCAGGGCTGTGTGGGCTGAGGTGGTCCCGTCCCCCAGGGCTGTGTGGGCTGAGGTGGTCCCGTCCCCCAGGGCTGTGTGGGCTGAGGTGGTCCCGTCCCCCAGGGCTGTGTATGCTGAGGTGGTCCCACCCTCAGGGCTGTGTGGGCTGAGGTGGTCCCGCCCTCAGGGCTGTGTGGGCTGAGGTGGTCCCGTCCCCCAGGGCTGTGTAGGCTGAGGTGGTCACGCCCCCAGGGCTGTGTGGGCTGAGGTGGTCCCGCCCCCAGGGCTGTGTGGGCTGAGGTGGTCCCGTCCCCCAGGGCTGTGTAGGCTGAGGTGGTCCCGCCCCCCACTGCTGTGTGGGCTGAGGTGGTCCCTTCCCCAGGGCTGTGTGGGCTGAGGTGGTCCCGTCCCCCAGGGCTGTGTGGGCTGAGGTGGTCCCGTCCCCCAGGGCTGTGTGGGCTGAGGTGGTCCCGCCCCCAGGGCTGTGTATGCTGAGGTGGTCCCGTCCCCCAGGGCTGTATGGGCTGAGGTGGTCCCGTCCCCCAGGGCTGTGTGGGCTGAGGTGGTCCCGCCCCCAGGGCTGTGTATGCTGAGGTGGTCCCGCCCCCAGGGCTGTGTAGGCTGAGGTGGTCCCGCCCTCAGGGCTGTGTATGCTGAGGTGGTCCCGCCCCCAGGGCTGTGTGGGCTGAGGTGGTCCCGCCCCCAGGGCTGTGTATGCTGAGGTGGTCCCGCCCCCAGGGCTGTGTGGGCTGAGGTGGTCCCGCCCCCAGGGCTGTGTGGGGTGCGGTGGTCCCGCCCCCAGGGCTGTGTATGCTGAGGTGGTCCCGCCCTCAGGGCTGTGTGGGCTGAGGTGGTCCCGCCCTCAGGGCTGTGTATGCTGAGGTGGTCCCGCCCCCAGGGCTGTGTGGGCTGAGGTGGTCCCACCCTCAGGGCTGTGTGGGGTGCGGTGGTCCCGCCCCCAGGGCTGTGTATGCTGAGGTGGTCCCGCCCCCAGGGCTGTGTATGCTGAGGTGGTCCCGCCCCCAGGGCTGTGTGGGCTGAGGTGGTCACGCCCTCAGGGCTGTGTATGCTGAGGTGGTCCCGCCCTCAGGGCTGTGTATGCTGAGGTGGTCCCGCCCTCAGGGCTGTGTATGCTGAGGTGGTCCCGCCCCCAGGGCTGTGTATGCTGAGGTGGTCCCGCCCCCAGGGCTGTGTATGCTGAGGTGGTCCCGCCCCCAGGGCTGTGTGGGCTGAGGTGGTCCCGCCCCCAGGGCTGTGTATGCTGAGGTGGTCCCGCCCCCAGGGCTGTGTGGGCTGAGGTGGTCCCGCCCTCAGGGCTGTGTATGCTGAGGTGGTCCCGCCCTCAGGGCTGTGTATGCTGAGGTGGTCCCGCCCTCAGGGCTGTGTATGCTGAGGTGGTCCCGCCCTCAGGGCTTTGTGGGCTGAGGTGGTCCCGTCCCCCAGGGCTGTGTGGGCTGAGGTGGTCCCGCCCCCAGGGCTGTGTGGGCTGAGGTGGTCCCGCCCTCAGGGCTGTGTATGCTGAGGTGGTCCCGCCCCCAGGGCTGTGTATGCTGAGGTGGTCCTGCCCCCAGGGCTGTGTGGGCTGAGGTGGTCCCGCCCTCAGGGCTGTGTATGCTGAGGTGGTCCCGCCCCCAGGGCTGTGTATGCTGAGGTGGTCCCGCCCCCAGGGCTGTGTATGCTGAGGTGGTCCCGCCCC